TACATATGTAAACATTATTTAATTACCATTATAACTAGCTATCTTACAAATTTTTGCTCACTCAGTGTTTTTTTTTATTTTACAGTGGGGTCATTTTGTTGCAGTAGCACCAGATAGCTTGATTTCAAACTTTGAATTGAATTAAAATATGACAAGTAAGCAGTCAGTAATAAAATAAGAACAAATAAAAATTAATGATAGCACAAATAAAAAAATAACGACAGGCCTTCGAATTAAATAAATTGCTTTTTAGTTTTTCAGGTAGATCTAACAGTAGGGTTAAGATATTTCACTTTTTTATTTTTTTTTACCAATTATCCAAATATTGTTTAGTCCTAGAAATCTATTATTATCAGGACACGTGAGCATAACACATGCGGTTAGCAGATCAATGAATGAGAGGCCAGCGTTACCAGAGTTGCCCATTTACCGCACAGTAGGGCTATTGCAGACAGAAACAATACTGTACTACATCCATGTTTCCCGTCGGCTCAGTTTTTGAGTGGACTTCTGTTCTGATGAGCATGAACGGTATACGAGTGGAACACACACACGCATCGAGCAGATAATACACAGAGCGTCACACCACGTGAAAGTGAATCCTGAGCAGTGAACTAATATTCGGCAGCCGAAATGTCGGTGCATCTCTAATTATTGGCGACATCAGAAATGGATATTATATAATAGATGCTTTTTTGAACATTTTGGCAATTTAAAAATATTTAAAAAATGATTTTTTTACACGGCACCCCTGCTCTCGACAGACCGCACCCCGGTTGGGAAACACTGATCTAATATATCAACAGATTCAGTTTTCCTTACTTTCCCTTTTAAGCAGCCAATTGCTCATTAATTAATTTAACAGGCAGTGGAGCAGATGATTGTTTATAGCGATTATGCCTGCACAATGGAAGCCTGAATCTTCTGCCAGAATTCATCAGCACATACTCAGGGTGCAACACATGAAGAGTCCAATAGAATCTTATTGGCCTGCTGGCTCATACACAACTCAAAAATGTCTCATAATGGACTGAGTGTCTGTATCCCAATACTTTTTTCCTGCCACTCTCACCAAATTATTTAATTGGGCTCTCATTTTTACTGTGAAACTCCAAAACCATGCGATAATTCCATATCTTAAGACAGACTCCATCGTTTCTTTATAGAAAATTAGCATTATATCGCTACTCACTCCGAATAACCATCATTTCAGTCTCATTTAATAAAGAACTAGAGTCACATGTTGACTTATGACACACATTTATTCCCATACGCTATTGTCTGTGTCCCATGATCTAATGGAGAGTTTCTCTCTGTTCTAGAGGAGCAGCAGGAGACAGTCAAGGCTGTATGATAATGTCTTAAGGCATTCCCTCCCTGACCTCCAGCGATATGCAAGAGCTCATGGAGAGCGAGTCCATTTTGAGAGCACAGAGCCAATGTGCCCCCCCCACGCACAGAGTTTCCATGTGTTATGGGGACATTTCATAGGTGTAATGGTTTTTATACTGTGTAAACTGTATATTCTATCACCTTACACCTAAACCTTCTGCATTTTTAGATTTTCAAAAAACTTAAACCTAAAAAAAGTCCCCACAATATCCCCACAAGGGATATTTGGTCCCCATAACATGATAAATACCAGGTACACACACACACACACACACACAGACAGTCATGAAGATCACGTGTCTCTGTTCATGTGTCTCTGTCTCTCAGATTCACTTTCCAAGTTAAGATGAGGCCCCGCTCCTTTCTCCCCATGAGCTCCTCGAGCAAAAGGGAGGCCGCTGTCCAAGCAGACTTGGCTGTCCTGATTGGGGAAGAGGAAAAAGAGAGCGCATCGACCTCTCAGGTACACACACACAAAGTTTTTCAAAGTATACTCCATTTGATAGCGCACTATAGAGATTCATAGAGCCGGTTCAGTGCTGACAGCTTGTGGAGAAACTAAGTAGTGTAACACAATTCAGAGCACATGTGTGAGCTGCAGTACACTGTACACGGTTACACAAATGAGGCGGTGCGTGTACATTAAAGCATACTGTTCTGATGATGCACAGTACACAAACCCTAGTGTGTGTGTGTAAAACGTTTAGTATACTTTGGGCTTCACACACACTGAAGCTCTGAATCTGCTGTCAGAAACACATTTCACACTCAAGCTCCATTCCTTTCTCCATTAACACCTGATCTGTGATGTTCACAGCCATCCAGCAGCAGTTCCTCCCCCAGAACACACCTGCCACCGCCACGTAACGAGGAGAGATTATTATGATTATGCAGAACATCAGTATCAAAGCTTTTCTATCAGTGCTTTCATTCAGCTGCTCTTGTTTGCTAAAGTAGAAACCGTGAGTCTGTCTGTAGTTCAGAGTTTAGCTCGTCCTGTGATATGATTCACTTTCAGATCTGTTGCTGTGCAAATTATTCACTTGTGTTTCTGATTCGCTTTCATTTTCAGATTTCAGTGAAATATTGAGCACCCCTGACAGCCCTAACTTAGCCTGTTTGTTTGATTTAGTTATTATTTCTCAAGGCAGACATAATCAAAGCAGCTGCTGAAAAGGACGGATTATGGAGTTGTCGGGGGACCAAGAAGCTTCAGGTCCATCTAACAGAACGAGTTCAAACCAGCTTAAAGAGACGGAGGAGAAGAGAGCTGATTGTGGAGCAGCAGAGGAGAAAATTAGACCAAAAGCTCCAAAGCTCATGGACGAAAGTTCTTTCAGTTTGTAAACACATGAAAGAGGAAACGTGGATGAACAACAAAATAGAAGATAACATGAAACACGTTTTCTTTTATTATCAAGAGATCCCAGAAACTCCTGCAGCTCCAGCCGCCAAAAAATACAGAAAAATGCAAAACCCAGTCAGCAAACTGTGTTGTGGGTCAGAGGATGGGCCTTTATTAATGAAGGACAAACCGGACTGGAGCATGAACCCAGGAAACACATCTCGTGATGAACTGAAGTTTCTCTGGACAGCTGCTGTTTCTGTAAACTGTTGATCATCAATAAAGTGAATCTAGAAGCTGTAACTGTTGAGGCTCTTGCTGGCATTGATCAGTCAGGATTGCTAGCGTTAGCATGCTGTCTGTAGTGATTTTGAAGTGTTTCTGGGTCTCGTTGATAAATGCAGTGAAAACTGTTCCATCACTTTCCGTGACCATTTTATCAGAGTCTCTTTTATTTATCCATCATTAGTCTGCTATCATTACAGTGCAGTCGTTTCTACAGCAATCAGTCAAGAGTTAAATATTCTGAATGATAAATGAAATTGTCTTGAGTTCTGATGTTTCCAGACGACACACACTGAGACTGATATATGATCGAGCATCAGTGTAATATTATCCTTCAGTAAAGTCTGTCAGCAGTTTCTCTCTTCTCTGGTTTGTAGAGACTGAAACAGTTGATTTTCTCACTCAGTTGAATTGCTGACGTTAACTCACTGTCTCAATGTTCAGGAACATTTCAGCAAAATGTAAAATGTAAGAAATTTAACACCTGTATTTTGATACAAAAACACACCAGTCTATAGTATGGGTAGTCCTATTTACATTAAGTGAAAATAGCAGTATTTTTTAACGATATGCTATTTGTAGTAGCCATTTTTTAAATTTAAATTTTTTTTCCGGGTCTAAAATGGCCGAACAACACCAGAGGGTTTATAAAGCATAAAAATAAAAATCAGCAATGAAAGAAAAAAACTCCAGCACAGTAGATGGCGCTATGAATCTAGAACATTAGGTAGTTTGACACCCGTCAGAAAACACATAAAAGATTCACTAAACAGGAGAAACTCACAGGACTCCAGGCTGCACACTTCAGTCTACAAATGGACCGGACGGAAACTACTGGTATGTTTACATGTTACGTTCCAAAAAGAAAACATTCGGCTGAGATCCGGGTGGGTTTTGGTTAGCCGAAGAGTAAATAAGAGATCTCTGGCATGAATGTGCTTTACAGTACAGTACAAGACAGACTTGTGTAAGATGCGTCTTCCTAATTATATAAATCCTTTACAATATTTATTCAAATAGAAGACACTTTTGGAGATTATAATTAAAGAAACGAGTATGTACTGAAATCGACAGAGAAATAAAACATGATTTTACTAAACCGAACTAAAAACCTTAACTACAGATTGAATACTGCTTGGTCTAATGTGGCGGACGGGCCAATGCGATGACGTAGTTTGCAATGCATCTTGGAAATAGTAGTTGATTTACATCTACGGTGTTAAATCTGATTTACAAAAAGGACTACTTTTCCCAGAGCGCACCGCGAGACGAGAAGCACACACCAGAGCTACCAGAGGACCAGAAGTTGTGTAGCAGTCAGCCAGCCACTCACATTACCAACACAGTCTGGCGGGGAAACTCAAACTGCTGTGATCCCGCTATACCTTGCTTTTGTCTTTTGGAGCTTTAATACATCAAGGTAAGTTCATTCTTCTTTTAAAATCTCAACTAACATGTAGGTTTCATCTAGGGATGCACCGAATAAAGACGCAAAAATCATTACAACCGACGGTTAGAGACTGTTTAGTTCTGCATCGCATGTCTTCGATGAGAAGAGGAAGGGTGATTATTTCTGCTACTGTATGATGATTGAAATCGCAAAATGCCCTTAAACCAGTAAATAAACTGCAGAGTGTTGTTTTCTAATTCACGCACGAATTGCATATATTCAAACCATAGACTGTATAAAAACATGGACGTAGTGTCCGTGACGTCACCCGTAGTTTTCTGAAGAGTGTTTTTGAAGCTCAAAGTGGGCGGAGCCAGCTGTCGCCATCTTGGCAGCGCGTCACCCCCGGATAATCAAAAATGGGCAAAGAGGCGGGAGCTGGTTGCTGAAACCACGCATTGATTTTTCTGCTGTGAAGTTGGGCATTTTAACATGAGGAGTCTATGGGACTGACTCTCTTTTGGAGCCCGCCTCTAGCGGCCAGTCGATGAATTACAGTTTTAGTCACTTCAGTGTTGGCTTCACGAGAGCGAGCGGAACATGATTCAAACGTGAAAAGCCGTGTTCGGTATTCGGCACAGTGTTTAATTTTGTTCGGCTTCGGCCAAGATTTTTTTATTTCGGTGCATCCCTAGTTTCACCCATTTTTCTACAGTGCGTTACTTGATTGGCTTTTTGTTTGTGTTCAGTCTCCGTTATGTATAGTTATCACTCTGGTCTGGTTGTAATTACGGTTATAAGTAAATGGTGTGTGTGATCAATCTTAGTGTTTTAACTTAATAATGACAGCATGCTTAAATATTTCTGATACTTGAGCTTGGATTGCTGGCTGGAGTGGATGTGAAGGACATGGTCTGGCGAGTTATGAGGCAGGCGATCAAAAATGGCTTGGCTAAAGCGGTGAACTGGAGAAGTGTAAATGGGAAAACACCAAATAAAAACATTGTGATTGGCAAGTGCATTTTTATTGCAAGTCTTTCTGGAATCCCCCCCCGCCCCCATTCAGACTGGTGGTGTCTAAATGTATTGTAACTCTGTATGTGTATGCTCCTATTGTAGAGGCTGTCAGAAGAAATCCTGTATGTGCACACAACTGAGCTGGAGGTCGAAACAGTTCATCTAGCTGGTGACCGTGAGGTGGCAGAAACAGAAGAACGACTTCACAAGATGCTAATGTAAACCAAACAACTTATTGCTGAGAGACTGAATCTTTTACATAATTTTTTTGCACATCCGTAAATATGAGTTGTATTTCATTTGTTGGTTTCTGTATTTTATCACGTATGTGTTTTTAACAGTTTAATTTGGTTTCTCTTGTATTGTGACTATTTATTTGTTGCTTTTTCTTTTATTATACCTTGCACAATATATAAATATTATATAGGGTCGTTTTGGCATAATACTGGTCCAGTTATGGCTGTCTTCCGAAGCTTCTGGATAAGTTGTGGCTGAGTTCTGGGGTAAAGTTTGGCTTTTGTCCGGCTGACATCTGGGGCTTCCGGCACTGTTGTGGGCCAGTTGTGGCTGATTTCTGGGGACACTGTGGAGTTGTGGGTGAGTTTTGGTCTGCTTCAGGCCTGGTTTTGGTATTCTTTAGGCAAGCAGCTTAAGGGCCATTCGAGGGGAGTGGGCCGTGGTGGTATGTGGGCCACAACAAGAGTCCAAATTCAACCAGTTAAGGCCCACAACCAATTTGCTATCTGGGGCGCTTGTGAACGGAATAAAACTATAGGCTTACATAAAAAGGAATAGCCCATGTTGGCCTACACAAAATGTATTTCACTTAAATCATTGACAGATTAACAAAAAATAAAAAAAATGTGCTAAGTTTCGGTTTATTGTGACACCATCCAAATTTCATGGAAAGGAAAAAGAGACAGCAGAAAATAGTTTTATTTATTTTGCCAATCTTGACAGTTTTAAATGATGTTTTGCTTCTCTGTATAACCACCCAGTGTTGGTATGATCATATCGCGCCGCACCTCACGCACACAGACACAACATATTTAGTGACATTGCATTCAGATCTGCGGTTGTGCAAATGATTCACTTCAATTTCTGATTCACTTTCAGATGCAGAACAATGAACACAAGGAGCTTTTTTCTCCCAAATGTATTTCACTTAAATCATTGACAGATTAACAAAAAATAAAAAAAATGTGCTAAGTTTCGGTTTATTGTGACACCATCCAAATTTCATGGAAAGGAAAAAGAGACAGCAGAAAATAGTTATTTATTTTGCCAATCTTGACAGTTTTAAATGATGTTTTGCTTCTCTGTATAACCACCCAGTGTTGGTATGATCATATCGCGCCGCACCTCACGCACACAGACACAACATATTTAGTGACATTGCATTCAGATCTGCGGTTGTGCAAATGATTCACTTCAATTTCTGATTCACTTTCAGATGCAGAACAATGAACACAAGGAGCTTTTTTCTCCCATCTGTATGTTACATGTTGATATTTATTCAATACATTTTTAGACTCTGTTTCTAGTCTTTCAATAATTAGTGCTTGCTTGAAAGGAACAATTCAGATTTTTTCTTTGTCAATTGGTGCTTTAAACCTCAGTCAGCTGTGAACGGTTGATCAGTAATGATTGTGAAATTAAAAGCGTAACGCTGTGATAAACTGCAAGGAGACGAGAAGAGTTTTGAATGGATGTCGATGGAGGAGAGGCTTCAGTTCACTGAATCAGCTGGGGTGTATTCCAGAAAGCGGGTTTTGTTGGAAACTCCGAGTTTCCCTTTTCTGGGGTTAACAAACTCTGTGTTTTCGGTTCCAATAAAAGACAAAACTGAACCTCTCGGTAAGTTACCATAGTAACATCTGTGTTCACACTGCACGATGGATCGGCGACAGGGGGTTTCACACTGCATGACTTCACAATAGGAAGAATTGCCGACAGCTCTGTCTGGTCCTGCAAACTACATTTCACAACAAAACACACGCGAGAAGTGATAAGGAAATAACGCGAGAACCCACGTGCGTCAGACCGGAGTTCTTGAGCAAGACTGTAATTATTAATATATATATGTCACATGTCTGTGAGCTGATTTCCAGCTACAAGGAGAAAAAGAAAAACAGATTATGCATTAGGGAGATGCAGGGAACAGGGATTGGGTGTTCTGCAAAGAGAGTTTACCATAGTAACATAACCCGGTCGGGAGCAGGTTTTCTTCGGTGAACCCAGAGTTTCTTTCGGTCTCCTCGCCCTTTTTAAAAAGTGTAAGCAATGTTTAAATACCTCATTCATTCATTCACGCTGCAAAAATGGCTTTTATTGCTGAGATTTGTGCCTTAATGACACACACAATCTATGCGTTGTTTGTTTGGGCAAAGAGCACGCAAGCGATGTCTCCGAGGGGGCGATTTTCTTATAAAGATTGAGAAGGAATGGAAGAGGCTGTTTTTCCCTCACGCATCCATCGATTCCAGCATAGAAGTTATGCCAACATCGAGGCGATGTGCAAAAGCGGTTATGAGAAGATGCCCCTATAGAGAGACGCTAGCCAGCTATCTCTCTATGGGTGAGACGTCCTCTAAGACTCCCCTCCTTGACATCTCGCTCGGATGCCAGGGCATACGCAGCAGCAGCTGGTCGGGCTGTCGCTTCATTGCACACGATGGTGATGCTCCAAGCATATCAGGCTGACCGGCTGAAAGACCGGGATAGAAGTCCAGGTCTGAGCCCGAACAACCCAGGGGTCCTAGCCCGTCTCAGTTTTGAGGATCAGAGACTGGCTCAGAAGGCTAGTGTCGCGGCTTGCGCTCCTCCCCCGCCCGCGGGTAGGGGTAGGAAGTATCGTGGGTCAAAGGAAGGTGAGTAAAAGACCTAAGGGATGTGATCCAGACAGGGCATCAGTGCTTTTGTCCGGATCAGAGTGATACCCCCAAAGGAAATTAGTAGATACTGAGGTCTTATATCTGCCCTTAACTTCACCTTCCTAATTCCCCTGTAACCTGAGATTAGGTGGGAAATTTCCTGCATTATAGTCTCCTATACTGGACCTATTAGGTTTGGTTGGTTCTATGGCTTCATAGTGACCATCTTACTGATGGTCCGGTCTAGAGGCTTCTTCGGACAGAGCTCCGACGAGGGAACCATGGTGGGTGAGTACGATCCATGTCTAATATATACCGTGGGTACGGAAAGTATTCAGACCCCCTTAAATTTTTCACTCTGTTATATTGCAGCCATTTGCTAAAATAATTTAAGTTAATTTTTTTTCCTCAATGTACACACAGCACCCCATATTGACAGAAAAACACAGAATTGTTGACATTTTTGCAGATTTATTAAAAAAGAAAAACTGAAATATCACATGGTCCTAAGTATTCAGACCCTTTGCTCAGTATTTAGTAGAAGCACCCTTTTGATCTAATACAGCCATGAGTCTTTTTGGGAAAGAGGCAACAAGTTTTTCACACCTGGATTTGAGGATCCTCTGCCATTCCTCCTTGCAGAGCCTCTCCAGTTCTGGCAGGTTGGATGGTAAACGTTGGTGGACAGCAATTTTTAGGTCTCTCCAGAGATGCTCAATTGGGTTTAAGTCAGGGCTCTGGCTGGGCCATTCAAGAACAGTCACAGAGTTGTTGTGAAGCCACTCCTTCGTTATTTTAGCTGTGTGCTTAGGGTCATTGTCTTGTTGGAAGATAAACCTTCGGCCCAGTCTGAGGTCCTGAGCACTCTGGAGAAAGTTTTCGTCCAGGATAACCCTGTACTTGGCCGCATTCATCTTTCCCTCAATTCCAACCAGTCGTCCTGTCCCTGCAGCTGAAAAACACCCCCACAGCATGATGCTGCCACCACCATGCTTCACTGTTGGGACTGTATTGGACAGGTGATGAGCAGTGCCTGGTTTTCTCCACACATACCGCTTAGAATTAAGGCCAAAAAGTTCTATCTGGGTCTCATCAGACCAGAGAATCTTATTCAGGTGTTTTTTAGCAAACTCCATGCAGGCTTTCATGTGTCTTGCACTGAGGAGAGGCTTCCGTCGGGCCACTCTGCCATAAAGCCCCGACTGGTGGAGGGCTGCAGTGATGACTTTCTACAACTTTCTCCCATCTCCCAACTGCATCTCTGGAGCTCAGCCACAGTGATCTTTGGGTTCTTCTTTACCTCTCTCACCAAGGCTCTTCTCCCCCAATAGCTCAGTTTGGCCGGACGGCCAGCTCTAGGAAGGGTTCTGGTCATCCCAAACGTCTTCCATTTAAGGAATGGAGGCCACTGTGCTCTTGGGAACCTTAAGTGCAGCAGAAATTTTTTGTAACCTTGGCCAGATCTGTGCCTTGCCACAATTCTGTCTCTGAGCTCTTCAGGCAGTTCCTTTGACCTCATAATTCTCATTTGCTCTGACATGCACTGTGAGCTGTAAGGTCTTATATAGACAGGTGTGTGGCTTTCCTAATCAAGTCCAATCAGTATAATCAAACACAGCTAGACTCAAATGAAGGTGTAGAACCATCTCAAGGATGATCAGAAGAAATGGACAGCACCCGAGTTAAATATATGAGTGTCACAGCAAAGAGTCTGAATACTTAGGACCATGTGACATTTCAGTTTTTCTTTTTTAATAAATCCAGAGCACCTGGAACCAGCAGAATCAGGTGGATTAGGCCCTTCCTCCCTGATGCGCTGAGTGTTTAGCTAGCTTGCAGTTTGCTTACCCTTCTGATTTTTACAATCATGCTGCAGGTCAAGCCCCCTCTCGGGAGAGCTGGGTTTGTGCTCCCTCAGCCTAGGTAAACTACTGCTAGCCGTTCCAGCATTGGAACATGCTGTAGGTCGAGCCCCCTTCTCGGATTGAGAACTAGGTGTGTTGTTCCCAAAGCTAAGTAAATTATGATTCCAAGCCTTGAGCTCTACCCCGGGCCCAGGAGTCTGGCCCTAACAGGTATTTTTTTAACAAGTATTTTTTGGGGTATGTAGCCTTGG